CTCCCGCCGCTGATGGGCGCCTGGTGCTTGTGCGGGCGGGCCGCCGGGCCGATGCAGCAAATTCTCTTCGCCGCTCGCCCGGGACTGAACACGCAAACAGCACAAGTGCCGGGGGCTTGCGCATCGGCGCTGATGCGAGTGCGCCTCCCCCCTCCCATACACCCCGACCAGCGCTTCTCATCAACGATCAATCCGCTAGTTCGAGCCTCGAAACACGCGCCGGACGGTACGCCCCGCGCCCGCGCCAGGGCGCGCACACACCCTGCGGCCTGGGCGCCGCAGGCAGCTGGCGGAAAATTAGCAGGCAGGGCGTCTTCGTCCGTTGTTGTTCGGATCGTTCTATTTTGGAACTCAACGGAACGTCCCCAACAACGAGCAAATTTGTCGGCGTGTGCGCGCGTAGATCTTTCAAAGCAACGATCGAGGCGGGATCTATCAACGCCCTGGGTCCCATGCACTGGGACAAGCGCCCTTGGCCTCATTGATGCATCCCCACGGCGCCGCCGCGCGTGCGCCCGGAGGCAGCCACACGCACGGCCCGCCTGTGCGAATGCGCGCAGCTGATGGTGAAAATCGGATCAGGGCAAATCCCGTCGGGCCGTGCGCGCCTCACAACACTGCAGTCGCCAGCGCCATTGCGCGCCCTCCGCACTCTCGGGTGGATGAGCGAGGGTCGGGAGATCAAGGGTGTGGAAGAAGTGCAAAGGCCCAACCCGAATACTGACTGGCAGCGTGACCGGCGCCCACAAGAACGAGACTATATAAGAACCGTGCATATATGTACGAAGCAGAGCGTGTAGACGCGCTCGGCCGCAAAAGGCAACAGGCAGAGCGCGTGCGGGAACGCGTGTGGGACGCAGCCGCGTGTCTGATATCGTAACTGCGGCCGCGCGCGTTGCGGCAGGGGTAGCATCGCATCGCAGGGGAGCAACAAGCGGCGTTTTCTGAGCCGCGGGGCGCCCACGGGCGCTGTAAAAAGGAGGCCTCAATGTGGTGGGGCCGGCAATTGTTGCTGGCTGTCGGTTCTCGGGCAGTTGTCGAGGGTATAGCCTAGACCAGAACCAAAACCGCGGCCCGCGCCTGGGACCCAGCGCGGGCGTCCAAGGCCCGCCTCGCGCCGGCCGCGGGGCGCCGGGCCAGGGGCGGCGGGCTCGGGGGCCCGCCACGCCCCGGGCGCGCGGCGGACGCTGCAGAGTTGGAGGCTCGGGCCTCAGCAGTAGAGCAGGCTGCGGTGCGTGTGAGAAGCGGCATAGACACCAAAAGCTTGAGCACCCCACTTTGGGGAGGGCACGTGCGCTCCGAACGTGGCGTGGCGCGGGCGTGCGAGCGCACGTGTGCGCTAAACGGGGGGCGAAGGTGTAGAGCAATCGGCTGGAGCGCGCAGAGCTGCGAGTATGGGTGAGAGAGTGTGAGGGGTCGCGCCCCCGCCACCGCTGCTGGCATTGTTCTATCACCATGAATGTGAATTCAGGGCCAAAGGGGCCGGCCCAGAGTTTGCGCAGTAGGATAAGACAGGACCCGGGCGCTTCGCCGTGGCCGCGCGCGCATGCGCGCGACAGGGCGGGGCGGCCCGTCCGTCTGCACGCGCGCGCGGTCGCGCCGCGGGCCCGCAATCGGCCGTTCGCCGGCACCCGCGCGGTGCGGGTGCGCGGGGCCCGGCGTAATAGTGCGGCTGCGCAGAGGAGTCGGGCGCGCCTCTGATCCCGAGCGGGTGAGGGTCCCGCCCCGCCCCGCCCCAAGTGAGGAAGGGGCGTGCGAATGAGAGCGGCCAAATTTTCATGTAAGGCCTCGGCAATCTGGTTGGGAACCATCCTTGGGAGCTCCAAATGTATTCAGGCACCCAGCCCGGTTGCGGCGCGCCAAGCCGTGGCCGCGGCCGAAGGCACGCGCCAGGCGGGCCTTGCGTGGGCCGCGGTCGTGCCCGCAGCGCCGCGCTTGCTGCGCCGCGCGGCGGCCGTGTCACGCCGCGACGACGGCGGGCTGCGCATGCCATTGCGGCGCCACCGGGTGCGGCTGGTAGGGGAGGCCCGCGCCGACGGCGGTGCCCAGGCTCAGGCCTAGCGCGGCTGCGGTGGCGGCCGCGCCGGCCGCGTCCTGCCGGCTGATGCACAGCCACGACTCCTGGGTTCGAGGGGAGGGCGCGTTGAAAGCCAAAAAGTGAAACCTCAAGTCCGACTTGCACGGGGTGGCCTTCCCAAAATGCAGATCTGGGTCAGTCAGCAGCAGATCCTGGTGTCCCCCCAGCTGCCCTGCGTTTGCAAGCCCCGGCCCCGGCCAAGCGCCGCCGCTCACGTGTGCGTACTTCTCGCGCACAAACACGAGCGGCTGGTGCGCCGGCGCCGCGTCCGCCGCGCCGGCGCAGTGCAGGAGGTGCAGCAGGCGCGCCGCGACGGGCGCCAGCTCGGCGGCCGAGTACCCTGCGGGGGCCGAAGGGTTTCCAGGGATTCAATCGGAATGTGGACGGGCAGCCGGGTCGCAAGGAAGGGGGTATGGGAGGGATTGTGCGTCTCCCAATGAGCGCAAGGCCAACCCTTGATCACGCAAACCGACAAAGCTCCCGGCGGCGTCCCTCACCCGTCGCCGCGCGCAGCGCCGCCACGACGTCGCCGCCGCCGCCCCCGCCGTGCCACGCCGCCGCCACGGCGAGCGCCGCGGCGGCGACGAGGCTGGGCGGGGTGGCGGCCAGCAAGTGGTCCAAGAGGGAGACCTCCGAAAGGTATGCAGACAGCGCAATGGCGCGGCGCGACAGGCGGCCCGACAGCGCCTGCGTGCGGGCGCGGGTCGCGGGCGCGAGGGGAGGTGGTGCGTGCGAACCGTGACGCAGCGCGCATCGGGCCGAGTAGTACCCATCTTTTCCGTGATACTGCAGCGAGGACGGCGACTGCAAACAGCACGGTCCAAGCGGCGACGAAATTGACGCAAAGGAGACATCCTCTGAGGGCATCGCACCATACTGCGGCGCACATACAGATTGCAAAGCGAGAGGCCGGGGCTGCTGTTGGTGTTTGGTGGGAGGAGCTGAGCCCCAAAAGACCCACCTGAGCGAACACGTGCAGGAAGGTGTAGGCGGTGGGCAGCTGCACCCGCCACTCAAGCTGATCGAGCAGCAGGCGCTCCATGCGCAGCAGGTCGTCTCGCTGCACGAGGTTGAGCGGGGAAACAGCAAGGGGGAGAGGGCGTCCAAGGTTGCGGCGGGCGCCGGCGGGGATGGGCGGGGCGGGATGGCACCTGTATGGGGGCGCCGCGAGCGCCGCTGCAAGCGCCGTTTGCCTGCACCGCGAGCGATGAGGCTCGGGCCCACCTGAAACGCGTCGGCCGCGATTTCGGTGAAGTCGTCGACCGAGGGGTGCGACACCTGATGACATCAGCGTCACGTCACGGGTCGGTTGGGGGACGTCGTGCGGGTGGGGGTCGGTGGCAGATTGGGGTCTGGGGTGCTGAATAGAAAGTGGTGCGGGGAGAGAAGCAAGGCTGATCGAAGAAACGGCGGCCAGCGGCCGGGTTGGGGTTGTTCAATGCTGGCATAGGCAGTGGGAGGGGTAGAATGTGTGTGTGTGCGTGTGTGTGTGTGTGTGTGTGTGTGTGTGTGTGTGCAACATAGTAGCATGGTGGGTTGGGCGTCATGCGCCACGGGGCCCACATGACAGATCAGGGCTCTTCGCAATTCCCTCCCCCCCACAGCGGCTGGCTCAAGCCAGACGCGCTGCGCGGCGGCATCAGGCTCTTGCACTATAGCGCCCACCCGGATGCTGCACCGGTCCACAACTGCGTACCGCCCAGCCCCAAACACAACTCACCTCATCCTGCTTCGACGCCACCATCATGCAGGCCACCGCCACCAGCTGCAGTACATTGCGCGGCACTCCCTGCGTGGATGGGATCGATCGCGTGCTTTCGCAACATCGCCACAGGATGCTGTGACAACGGGCAGATGGGCCGACAGGGGGGTTGCCACCCTCGGCACTAAAGCAGCCCTGGGCCACTGCCGGGGGGGCCGCGGCTCGATGGTTGTCTGGTCCGCATTGAGGCTCGCGTCGCCGGCCATGGGCGGGGCCGCGTGGCGGGCGCGCGAGTGGTGGGCCGCTCACCGCTGGGGAGACGGCCTGGAACCTGTCAAGAAGCCGCACCGCCAAAAACAGCGTCTCCTGCTGCAGGCGGAACTCCGCCGCGACCTCGGACAGCCAGCTGGCGACGATGCAGCGCATCTGGGGCGTCACCGCTTGCGCCGAAGCGGCGGCGCTGCTGACCGCGGTCGCTTGCCGCGAGCAGTTGTCGGCGGGGAAGAGCTGCGCATCCCGCTCTTGACGCATCAGGCTTCTGCGCGGTGGAAAATGCAACATGTGCGATAAAATACTTCTTGTTGATGTTAGGAGAACGATCACCCCGGGACGCGGGGGGGCCAAAAGCTACGGAACCAGCAAAAGCAACGGGCCAACCACCCACGTGATCATCTCCTGCAGGTCTTCGGAGGAAGAGACGCGCCATCCGTAGCTGCCAACGGGCCGCCATTCAGAAGATGCGGCCCTGCTTGGCGCATGATGAGGAAGGATGGTTGAGACGGGCACACCGGTGTTCTCGTCGCAAAGGAGCTCCGATCCTTCATCCTGCGCAGGTGAAAGAACAATCAGGAGGTCCAGTTTGATAAGCCACACGGACCAGGCCTGTGCGGGACAGTCACTGAGCGTGGCGTGATGAGCCAGTCAAAGGCAGCCCCTCGCGCGCGCCTGCGGCCTCCCGTTGCGCGTCACTGCTGCTGATAGGGAATATAATGTCCTTATACATGATCTAAACACGCTCACCATGTCCGGAGAGGCCGGAGCACAGTCCCAGACCTCCCCGCTGGAAGCCAGGGACGCTTTGCTCGCGGGCGACTGGGCCTGCTGCCAGCAGCCCTTGTAGTGCTGCTGCTCGCATCCCATCGAAGGTATGAGCAGCTGCGGTGGGCCAAACATCGCGCCCAAGTGCAAAGATCTACTGCTGTACTCCTGCCTAACCCGCCTGGTGCCCGGTGTATGTATGGCACAACCTGACCTGTATGTGTGGATGTGATCGGAACCGAGGTGGCACGACAAAAGGGACCCAGTTCGAACAGTTCAATCCCTTCATTTTCGATTTGCTGGGCGCGCTCCCAAACCGCTGTTGCTGGGTTGCAAGTCGAGGGCATTTTGCTACACTTAGGTCTAATGAGAACACGACAGTCCATGGTCCAACTCTGCAGCATCGCATCGCCGCGCCCCGGCACGGTCCCCACTCCCCAGTGCTTGCCATGCCTTGCGCGGTGTGATCCCACCCCTTGATCCCTGTCAGCAATTCAAAGGCAGCGTGTCTCGAGCCCGTGTCCAGGACCGCTGCCTAGCCTGTGAACTGTGGTTCCACACGCTCCACTGTCCGCCGCCCCCAGCACCAGCGCCCACGCCACCCAGCTGTATCGGCCTGCAAAGTATCAGCAGGGGCTAGCCGCTCGACTGAAGTAATTCAGTGACGGAATGGTCCATCTCCACCACCAAGAGTAGTCATGCCAATGTGTCCATAGTGCGGCGCGGCCAAATCGAGTGCTTTTTCGTCTTCCAGGTGCTTGCGTTGCCGCAAGACCACCGGCTCGTGCAGCACCCACCCACGTAATGCCAGCGTCGCCCACTGTGATGAACCCGAAGGCGCATCGGGGGCAGCGCCAACCGCTGTACCACCTCAGATCCACGGAAACCAGAAGAAAGCTAGGCGGTGGGCGCGCGGGTGTCAGCTCCACACCACCCTTTGGAAGCGGGGTCGGCATCCCACAGAGTAGAGTACGTGCGCTCACAGCATCAGGACATAAGAAACGCGTCCCGCTATATTAGTTTCTGCTGAGTGATGAGAATTAACATACCTGTGATGGTGCTGATTTCCTGGCACCACGACCAGGAGCGTGGCGGTGGGAGCTGAGCAGGACCTCAGGCGCGAGCGCTGGCCAATTCCTGCTTACAGCCATCTCAGGGTCTTGCTGCACTTCATGACAGAGGTGGTTGGATTGGTTATATCTGGCCCCGTTGTGAAAGATTATCTCCTGGCTGTCTTAAGTAGTTGTTGCAGGAATCTGCAAATCTGGAAGTCTCCATGTGTAGAGGCGCGCAACCCCGGTCTCATGAAAACCGACTTGGAACGTTTGTAGGTGTCACAAGACGACAAGCCTCGCGCAACCCCACACCGCCCCCCCCAGCTGGGTGGTTGTTTTGCTGCCCCTCTTGCATTTTGGATGGGGGCTGTAAAACTCAATGTGTGAAGATTCGATGAGGGCAGTGAGGGACTGCTGTAAGCTCTGCACGATGGCGGCAGGGCGGGTGTGGGTTTCTGCACAGGCGTCATGTTGGAAAACTTGTCATGGCTCTCCACCCTCTCAGTGAGCACAACAGATGGCTGCATCAGCGGCACCGGCTGCCGTCCGGTTGCTGGGGCAGCAAGGCGAGGCTTGGGACGCAAGAAGATGATGAGGTGCTCGAATGCTGGAATCTCCACCCCCCTCGCTTGGCCGCAAGCCGGGCGCCACAACGAACCCCAACACACAGGAACAGCGGGAGTTGATGTTTGGAGAATGTTCAATTTGATGCTCTGCTGAGGTACTGGCGAGTGCGGCGTTTCGACCACACCGTGGCTGCCCCAACGCGGTGAGGAGTTGGGGGTGGTGGGCAGCGGGGAACCGCTTTTGGGGGAGGTGTTGGAGCGGGCGAGCGCGGCAGAATCTGGTCGGTGAGCACACTCACGTAGCACTAGGTGCAATGAAGGTTACGTGAACATCACGATCAACCACAAAGAGTGCAGACCCTGCTTAGCCGCTGGCGCGTCACGCAGCTAGCACCCACCCCTGTCCGCAGCGCCTGCACCCAGTGTCGGGGCCACCGAGTCGAGCAACGGCAGGGCGTACCAGGAGTAGCGCGCCACAGCATTATCAAACAAATATTTATACAACTTCACTAAAACATCGAGAGCTTTGCGGTGTACATCAGTTCGCGAAACCTTCCGTGGTGCTTGGCAAGCGGGCCTGCAGCAAGCTTTGCAGCTATCACAAAAAGATGTTGGTGCGCAGCGGCCTAGCCAGGCCATCTTGGGCCCTCGTGCGGAGAGAAGCCCATGGCGTTCGGCTAGTGCCTCCGCGGGCACACTCCTCTGCAAACGCGGACGTGCAACCAGCGCGGAGGAGCGTCAAGGACCCCTTTGTCGAGGCTGCACACCGCTTGCAGAGCCTGGTGCACGCCGTTGGGTGAGCAAGGCAGCAGAGGCACCGACGCGCGCGCGTAGAGCGCGGCGCATGCCACTTGCACGGCGCATCCTTGTTTGTCACTCACACAAAAAGTCGGTACATCAGCACAGAAGTTGCCGCCGCCTCGCGCTCGCCTCGCCTCGCCTCGCCTGGGCGGCCGCACCGCCCGGCGCTTCCGCTGCCTCCCCTATGCAACGCCCTGGGTTGCTGCCTCTCCGCTCACCCCCCCCCTGCAGCGATGGGGAAGAGGAGTTGCTGCAGCAGTCGCTGCGGGAGGAGGCGCCCCTCTCCAAGCTCGGCCTGATGGCGCTGGGAGGGGGCGTCATCATGCTGAGCGCGCTGCTGGTCTCGAACTTGGCGGGGCAGGATCCATGGGGTGAGCAGCGGCACGCATGGGCGCGCATGCGCTGTGCACGCAGTCGCGCACACATGTGGCTGCGCACATGGAGGCTTGCGGGGCAAGGGACGCCCCCGCATGCGACGGAGGGGCACCTGCGCTCCCGGTGCTGCCTGGCGTCTCAGTGAGCCTGCCCCCATGCGCTGCCCTGACATGCCCGCCCCCATGCCCATGCGCCTATGCGCCATGACGCCACGACGCCACCCTCCAAACCACCCCGCGCCCCCCGCCAGGCGGCGCGACGCTTTCAGTCAGCAGCCTCCAGGCCGCCGCCGCCGGCGCGGCGCTCGCGCTGCCGCTCGTCTGGTTCCGGCTGCACATCTGGTCCCCGGGCGCGGCCGACGCGCTGCCCGCGCTCGCGGACATGCACAGGCAGATGGAGTCCGAGGCGGAGCCCTGGCTCTGCCGCTTCGACCGCGGCCACCTCTTGGCCCATGCGGCGCTCGAGGTGCTGCCCATGACGATGCTGCTGCTGCCCGCGGCCCAGGGCGGCCTCTGCGCGGGCTTCAACCTTTACTCGTCGCTGCTGCAGCAGGCGCTCTTCGCGTCCCCGGTGGCCGCGGCGGCGTCAGCGTCGGCGGCGGCGTCCGCGTCGGCGGGGTCGGCGATGCCGGAGGGGCTGGGGGCGGTGCTTGCGGTGCTGATCACCGCGACGGCCGCGGGCGTGGTGCACAGCCTCAACTCGGTGGGGGACGAGGAGGAGGTGGAGGTCGTGAGGGATGCCGTGCAAAATGCGGACAGGTGAGGGAGGCGGAGGTTTTGCTGTTCGATTTGGCATGGCCGCGGCGGCGCGAAGCGGCGAAATGGGCGGAGCCGGTTGCCTGTGGGGGCAGCCGGCCGGGCCTGGCGGCCGTCCGGGTGTGCGGCCGTTGTCCGGAGGGTGTGGTGAGGGCGCGCGGCGCGGCCCTGGCGCCCGGCGAGGCTGCGCCTGAGGTTTTGTGGCGGGCGCCGCTCATGCTGAGCCGCTCTGCATGTAGATTGGTGTGTCATGAACGGTCACACACCTCAAACAGGAGGCGGTTGCAGACACCGTCCCGCCCGGCACACATCCCCGCGCCTCTGGCAATCAGGTACTACCGGCTGACAGCAATGGAGGTTGGCAGCACCGCCGCCGACGCGGCACGCGCCTCGACCGCGTTCAAGGCCGTCGCGGTCAGCTGGATGGAGGCGCGGGAGGATGCGTCGTCGCTGGCGGGCTCGGTTGCGTTCTTGGACGTCGTCTGCATTTCGGCGATCTGGCATTTGACCGGCGACCTGGCCGCCGCGGCAACCGCGGCGCTGGCGGTGGCGGCGGTGGATTATCACTACTTGCACGACGCTGCGCTGCGCGGCGGTGCGCGGCGCGGCGGCGGCAAGGCTGCAAAGTCGACCGGCGAGTCGCGGTGAGGGCCGCAGGCGCGGCCGCGCCGTTGCGCCGCGCGTCGACTGGAGGGCAGCTGCCTTCCTTACGCCGCGGTTGTGTTGCGCGCAGCCGCCTTGAGGCGCGCGGCGGTGGCGGTGCAAGGGATGCACGTGTTTTTGAAGCATGTCGTGCGTGCGCAGGGTGGTGCGTCCTTTTTTTCGCGCGGCGGTGCGTTGAGTTCCTATGGTTTTGGCTGCTGTTTGGCCTGGGCCTCTTTTAGGGCGCCCCTTGAATCGCCCGTGTTGGTGCGCACCGCTTTTCCTAGCCAGGCTTGCCACAAGGAACTGCATACAAGGAACTGCAGCTGTGTATATGCACAGATTACCAGAGTTGAGCGTTTCGGCATTGGGCCCCGCAGGAGCCCGCATCCACGCAGGCCGCCCGCTGCCGCGATCTGGGCGTCGCCCGCCGCCTTGCTGCGGCGGCGCCGCCCCCCACTCCTACCTCAGGCGGCCCCCCGCCCCTGCAAGCTGTGGCTTGGGCGAGCGCCGCGCAGCCGCGCCGCGGGGGCCCCGGCTTCACTACCCAATCAACCAGGGCAACCTCAAAACAAAGGCGCAGGCGGAGCCTGGGCCGCAGCTGTTGTCCCCGGGGGGCAAGCAGCGCGGCAGCGTCCGCGCTACACACCCCTTTTTGACAGCCTCGACTTGTTTATCGTATAGCTATCGCCAAACTTGCGCTTCGTGCCCGCGGCTCGCGCGGCGCTCGTGTGGCGCTGCTGGCTGTGGCGCACCGCGAGGCGCGGCAGATTGCGCGCACCGCGGGACCTTGACCGGTCAACTGCTGGGTTTGCCCCACTGCACTGTTGTTGATATGCTGCGCTTGCGGTTTTGCTGGTACAGATTGGGCTTGCTGCCATTTGTTTCCTGCTCAGGTGAGCACGTTTGTAACATAACATGCATTTACTGCCTTTGATTCATTACCGGTTTTATATACGTTCAAATACTGGGGTCATCAGCAAGACGCGAGGAGCTGCCAGCTCAGCCGAAGCGACCTGGCCCGGCATCACCCGCCCTGCTGGGCCATCTTCCAGGCGTGCGGCGCGGTCTGCATTTGCAGATTTCACGTCGCCGCGGCTTGAGGGGGGAGCATGCACCAGCCCACTGCATGAAGGCCCCAGCGGGTCATCAGCGGGGCACTGCGCCCCGCTCCCCTCGTCCTCCCACGCTGATCCACCCGCCGTAGCAGAGGTGGCATGATGCTTGCCCGTCGCGTGTGCGCGCGTCAGAGGCTCCGCAGTGCCCACAACTCTGGATAGCCGGTGCCAAGAGTGGCCACATGTTACAGCTTCAAGCTCAAAATGGCAGCCGCTTGCTCTGCGTCGAGCACCCGCACGCCTGCTTCCCGCAGCGCCTCGGCCGCGCCCGGGCCGCGGCCGTCCCGCCCCAGGGCCTGCGGTGAGGGCGCGAGACAGGGGGTGTCGCGTGAGAGGCGCTGCAGCCCCCGTGCCCGCGCGCTCGCTCAGTGATATGGTTTAGGGCGTTGCCTGCAGAGGTGTGGCTGACCCATGCTGACATCATCAGCAGTGGGGGCGGACGCACCCCCCGCCCACCCCCGACGCGCAGGCGTCGAAGCGGCCTCGCGTGCGCCCGGAGCGCCGACGTGCGGGCAGCGCAGTGCGTGGCGTGTTGGGGGTTCGGAGAGGGGGGGCCTTGCGCCACACCGCTGCTGGCGCCAGGCCGGCCCGAGGGCCCGGGGATCACCCGCTGCAGCTCGTCGGTTGCCCTGGGGTGTTCTATTGTGAGCAGCGCGACAGCATCCAGCAGTTCAGGGAAGTAGGCCCTCGGGCTGCGCCACGAATAGGGCTGGGTCGCAAGCAGCGTCCAGGGGTCGGATGTGGATCGACGCAGGGTGAGTTGAACCGGTGCATGAGTGAAAGACGGTGATGACGTCGAGATGGCGGCGAGATCTGAAGCGCAGCTTTTCCAGGCCTTCCTGGGGCCGAGAAAGACCCCAGAAGTTGCCACCCGACAGTCGCAGCGCGCCCCCGCCCCCGGCCCCGCCCCCGCTCGCAAAGCCACAAGTCGTCGCTGGCGCCCTGCCGTACGCATCTGTGGGCGCCCTGCCGCGGCGCAACCCCGCAACTGTCACCGCATCCGTTCACACAGCGCCGGTCACGACACACGCTGTGTTTGACAGCGTATTTCGTGCCGGACGGCGCCCCACAGCACACCGCGCTCATGCAGGTTCCTGTGATATCGATTCCAGTGCTGCACACGTGTCCTACCCACCCACACCCACCCACCTGGAAGAGCCTCAGCAGGGCCCCAACGTCCACCGCGAGCTGGCGCGCCCCCGCGGGGCTGAACAGCATCTCTGTGGCCACCCCATTGTACAGCTCCCTGCAATTGCGATGATTATTCCCCGTGGTGATTGTTACAGGGCCGTTGGCAGGGCGGGGCGCCTCTCTTAGAGGGCCGCATGTTTGAGGCGGGCTCATTGGGGAGGGAGGCGGGTGCGTGCTTGGGGTGGGTGCGTGCTCGGAGCGGGTGCATGCTTGGGGCGGGCGCGTGGTTGAAGGTCGGGGTTTGGCGGCAGCCCCCGCGCCTTGTGCGGGGTGCGCGCCGAGGCGCGCGGTTTTGCGTTCACGAGCGACTCGCGGCGGCTGCGGCGCTTGCAAAAGCATGTGTCAGCAGTTGGAAAAAGGAGGGCCGCGGCAACAGGCGACGCGAGGGCTGCAGTCCACGCAAATCCAACCTGTTTATGGCGGCGGCGGCGGCGCGCAGGCAGTCGCGGAAGCAGTCCCGGTCCAGCTGGGCCGCCAGCGCCGCCAGGGCGCCCTGCGGGAGTCAGAGTTGGTAAGGGCGTGCAGGCAGGGTCAGGGCCGCCTCAATCGACCTGCTGCGGGGGCGAGCGCCTGGGACCAGCGGGAGGAGGCGTCGCCGGGCGGTGCACGACTGCGGCCGGCGGGCCCCCACCCCGACGCGCTGCGTGCCGGCCTCGACCGCGGCCCGCGGCGGAGGCGGCGGCGGCGGCCGGGAAGGGCGCCGTGCAGCTTCGTAAAGCAGCTCGCTGCCTCAACGACCCCTTCCATTCACGACGCGTGTTCCAGGTGCTGCAGACACATTTTCCCACCAGCTTTCTACCACCTTCCCACCAGCTTCCCACCAGCTTCGTGCCAGCTTCCTGTCACCTCCTCACCGAACCCACGCCCACCTGCAGCCACTGTAGGCCGTCCACCAGCCCTGCGGACACCACAGCCGCGTCCGCCGCAGAAGGGTCTGGATCTTTGAAGGGCGCGGGGTCCGCCATGTACCCTGGGAAGTCGCAGGGGCGGCGCGGAGACTTTGACCTTCAGAGTCCGAGACTGTGCAGGAGACTGGGAGCCTGATGCGTGTGCCGCGGTCGCAATGACGTGGTACAAAGGATTGATCTCCAGAGAGTGCCAAAAATACGGCCCGCACCAGGGGGCAGTGCGTGGGCCCGTCATGAAACGCGTGCGCCATCGGGCGACCATCGGTGCGCCGGCCGGCCCGCCGCGCGGCCGCGCTTTCGGCGGGTCGAAGCGCCCGCAGGCGGAGCGGCCCGGCAAGCCTTTGTCCCGCTAAGCCCTGAGCACACCCGCGGCGCCGCCCGGCAAGGCCGGGGCGGAGCAGGTCCCTGGCTGCCGCGGTGCAAATCGGGGCCCAGTGCAGCCCCGAAAGCCCACCCTGCGCGTGCTGCAGGAAGCCCTGCGCCACCGCCTTTGCCACTTTGAGCGTCCACTCCCGCCGCGCGGAGGCAAAGTCTCCGAGGGGCTTCGACAGCAGACGCCGCGCCGCCGTGGCTGCCGCCGCCGCCGAAGCCTTTTCGCCGCCGCCGCTGCCCGGGGCCGTTTGAGACGAGGCCCCGTCTTGCCGCTGCTGCTGCTGCTGCTGCTGCTGCTGCTGTTGGTGTCGTTCAGAGTGAGCGTCCAAGGTCTGCGCCGCCTCTGCCCGTCGCTCGAAAATCTCTGTCGGGGATGGGGGCAGGTGTGGTGGGAACGTTTGAAAGTTTATGAATGCACCGGGGTCCAAATGAGCCCCCTGAAGCTTTGACCATCGGACGCGCAAAACCATCAGGGGCGACTAGCCCCCTGAAAAGCTGGGCGAGGGCTCAATAGCCGCCCTTTGCACGCTGGGCCCAGCGCCGCTCGACCGAGATGCTATGCTCAGGGCCGCCCTGACGGCTGCCGCGAAGCTGCGGCCGTTGCTCGCTTGCAGATCACAGAGCGGAGCAGCGGCGCCGGGTCAACGCTGGTCAACCGCCGCAAGTCGCGTCCCAGATCGGAGAAGGATTTTATAGATTGAAGTTAAAAGATCATGTCCAAGATTGCGTCCCTCACCTGCAATGGTGAGGGCCATGTCTTCTAAGTGGTGCTCCAGGTAGTGACAAAAGCAGACGCACACGCACGCCTGGGGGGGTGGGGGTGGGAGCGGGGCGGAGCGCGGGGCGGGCGGCTAGTGCGCCGGCTGGTGAGACGAGCGGGCTGGTTGGCAAACTATTGGTTGGCGTAGCGACCGGCTGGTCGACAGAAACTGACAGAAAACGAGGGGCCGCAGGAAATGGAAGGCTGGGTGACGAGGGAGGACGTGGAGGCTGCTGATTAGGCGACGGGCCGCCGGCAGGCTTGACGGCCGAGGTACGGAGGGATTAATCAGATCGCTGTGGACGCGCAAGCGGAATTCGCAGCTGCCGGTCAATTCAAACCGGCGCCGAGCGACAGCCAGTGACAGAGCGCCAGCAGAACGGAGCTCCGGCGGGCGGCCCCGGGGCCGGCGGCTGTGCGGCCGAGGTGCCACACACCTTGCGCATCCAGGTGGCGTGGTGTTTGGCATCCCTGAAGAGGTCGGCTTGCTGCAGGGTACGCACCTGTCCAGGGTTTGGGGTTTGGAGTTTGGCCCGCGATCGTGCGCGGGTGCGAGGCAGGGGTCAGAGGGTGGCCTGCACGTGCACCTGGGGAGGCCGGGGGACGCGGCGCGCCCGCAGCCGCGGAGGCGGCGGCGGCGTTGCCGCTGCACACCAGCAGGCCAGCCGCCGGGGCTCAGGGTCCTGGCGCGTGCGGCGGAGCACGCACTATACGCAGAAAATTGATCACCGGCGCACCACTGTGGAGTGCGCGCCTCCCAGGACATCAGCCGCCAAAAAATTCAGGTATCGGTCCTGGGCCTGTCAAGATGCAGTTTGCAGGGAGGGGTGTGATGCATCAACGCGGGTTGGGGACAGGGTGTGATGCATCACCGCAGGTCGGGGGCGGGGTGGATGAGTGGGTGGCGGAAGGGAGAGGTAGGAAGAGACGTTGATGAGACAGCGTCTCAAGCGGTCAACACAACCCGACAAGGCTGCCAGGTGCTGGGTGCCGATTGCAGTGCCGCGGCAGGGCTTGGGGGCTTGCAGCTGGGGGTGGTTGTTGGGGTTTGAATCAGGGCACCTTGACCAGAGCCGAGGCGTCTCATCCGAACAATGTTGCTGAGGATTATGGGGCAGCCTTGGTTGCGTTCCAGCAGTCTCAGACGCCCTCGCGGCGTCGCGAGGGCGCCGCAGCGGCGGCCGCCCGCCGAGCTGCATGACGCGTGCGCCGTCGCCGGGGGCGATGGTTGAAAGCGGACGCGCCGCGACCCCGAGACGGCCCCCGCCGCGCGCGGCTCGGCCCCGGCCTCCGCCCGGGCCCGGCCCGCACCTCGTCGCTTGGGAAGTTATGCGCCCGCGGCAGCAGCTGCCCGGCAGCCAGCGATACGGCGCCCTCGGCGGCGGCTGGGGGGTAGAACTCACAGCGCCACGCGGGCTGGTCTTCAGCCTGTGGACGATGACGTCATGGCATCATCACAAGCGACGATCAGATATCAGGTGGTCAAGTGAATGTAGCAGCCATTTCTTGGCCATCCATTCAACTAACGTCACATGGACAGAACACAAACCAAACCTTCTCGCCCACACATCGACAGTTCAGTTGCAATCGCACGGCCTGCCTGGGTCTGTACAAGTTTACCGCACGCTGGCTGTGTGACGGCAGCTCTGGCGGCGGAAGCGGCGCGCAGCACGTGGCAAATTTGCATGGCAATGCTGCCTATCAGCCTGACCTTGGCACCCTCAGAACCCTCCTACAATTCCCCCTGTTTGCCTTTTCTGTTCTCACACACGCACGCAAGCTTGCACCCAACCCCACACTCTCACACACACACACGGACGCAGACACACATATGCACACATCAAAACTCAACTGCAGCGAAGGGGCGCTGTCCCAGGCGCCTGGGCTGTAGAGCACTCCCTCCAGCGCCCTCAGTGCTGCGCCGCCCTCAGAAGACAGCCAGGCGTCCTGGGCGCCAGCAAAAACAGCAATCAGCATGAGTTGATAACTGAGGATTTGCTAGCAACAAGTCGAAAAAACCCTTGATCATGCATTTAAGGGATCCAGGCCCATTTAGCAATCTATGACGGAGGGAGCTATGTGTGCGGTTGCTGGGCGGTCCAGGGCCGCGACCACGCCAATTGAGGTGAGTGCCAGGAGGGCGGCTCGGGTCCGCCTCAGGTGGAACGATTGTTGGGTGGAGAGGCTTGCAAGTGAGGCGCTGACGATGCATACTGTGAGCTGGCCAGAGCCAAGGCAGCCATGAAGCATAAGGGCTCAGGTGCTCAGCAGGGCGGCTGGGGCTGCTCTGTTTCTCCGCAGCTGGCACGCCCCTGCGCCTTCCAGGAAGCTGCCGGCAGCGAGCCGGACCACCCACCATCCACTCTTCCCGCTCCCCCAGCACGCCCAGCGCGCCGCACCGCAGCAGCGGCAGCGGAAGGGGCGGGCCGTCCGCCTTGGACGTCATCGAAGCGGGGCCGCCGGCGCCGATGACGCCGAGGGGGGGCGCCATTTTGGTATCGAAGTCTGGGGGTCAATGTGGTGTGGGTGGAACGTGGTATGTGGATAAGCGAGCATGCATGCATGCGTTCGTGCATGAAATACAGCATGTCGCTGCCACCCCAGGTAATTGTCTCCCTTGCACATCAGTATTACACCCAATCGCCGCATGTGCAAACCGCGGGCAGCAAGGGCAGCCCGCGCCGCACAGGAAGGAGGATTAAATTGCGTGCCTGCCGCCTGTTTTGTACTGCACGTCGGCTCACATGCGGCCGCCATGCGGCCCCCATGCGGCGCCCATGCGGCCCCCCATGCGTCCTGTACCCTCACAGACATGCAGCAGCCACTGTTTGGGGCGAAGCTGCAGCATACTTAATCTCACACACACCGCGCCTGCCATACCAACCCCTGCTGACATACTGCATGCCGAGACTGCAGAATCTGCAACGAATGGATGATAGTTATAGGATAAAAATCAGCGGGCAATGGCCCACAAAACCCCAGACCCACCTATCATGGCGTCGACCCACGTCAGCCACAGCTCCCCGTCCTCCGCCTCCAGTAGCGCCGGCAGCTTCCGCCCCCGCAGCAGCTGCTTGGCAGCTTCCCGCAGCGCGCGCGCGAACTCGGCTCCAAACAGGTAGCGCCCGCCGCCCAGGCCCGCTTCGTCCACCAGAGACTGCGGGCGCAGCGGAAAAACCCCATTGCATGAGAAGACTTCAGCACCTCTGGAACCCTGCAGGCGGGCTCTGTGCATGCTCTCCGGATGGGCGTCGCTCACACGCGGCGCCTTTGTGGATTGCCGCAACAAGCCGGCGCCGGCACCGGCGTGCGTGTTTCATTCGTGAACCGGCCGAATTGTGTCACATAGTGTAGCAAACCAGGAATCTGAAGTACCAAAACATCTATGAACCAGAGTGGGCTCAGATTGACCACCCCCCATTAAACAAGTCAAAATTACTGGAAGAAGTGCACCGGCAGCAACGCGCCATGCTGGAACCGCCCCGCCCCATGCACCCCATGCCGCGTGTCGTGTCCTGCGCTTGTCGACGACGATTATGCACCTGGAAAACTTCCAGCTGGGGCCCGTACTCTTTCGCCAGCCGCACCACAGTCTGAAACAGCCACGCCGGGCGGTCCAGCCGGCCTGCGTTCCAGCGCGGCCGAAGCGCCCGCGCCCACGGCGCAACGGGTGAGCGGCTTGGCGGGGGCGAGGTCAGCTGGGTGCATGAGGCACGGGGCCGCGCCGCCGGGGCTGCGAGAGCAAGACGAGCCGGCGGCCGGGCAGGGGGCGGGTAGCGGCGGCCCGCTGCGGCGAGGGTTCTCGCATCCACACAACAGCGGGTCGACGCGCCGCCGCTCGAGCCGCGTCGCACGGTCGAAAGGACGATTTGGCCTTTGGGGGCGTTTTTGTCTCTTCGCCTGGGGGAAAACAGGGGCGGAACGAGGCGATTTGTTTTCCCATACTTTCGCACCTGCGGGGGCGGTGTTGTCAAAAAGGGCTCCGAGTTTCTCCCCCAGTGGCGCCGCCAGCAGCTGCGCCGCCCACAGCAGCGGCGCCGAGGGGCCCGCGAGCGCCGCCAGCGGCTGGCCGGACTGCAGGCGCGGGCGCGGGCAGGGAGGGCGGCCGGGCGCGGGGCGCCGGCGTCGGGCGGCAGGCTGGGGCCGGCTCCTTTAAATGGGGGTTTCAATCCCAGGTGGATCCAAGAGTGTGGAGCTGCAATCAACAAGCGGACGGCGAGCAAGTTTGGCTGGGTCTGGTGGGTCGGAGGGGCGACAGGGGAGCCAGCCGCGGACGACTGCTGGCGGGCTTTCTTACAACGCTTGGAAGCTGCAGCACGCAAGTGGGCCCTGCGGGTTGCGGTCGCGCTCGTGTGCGCGCGTGCATTCACACACACGCACACACACATACCCAGGACCGACACACACACACACACACACACACACACACACAAACACAACTCTCACAGCCCCCACACGCATTCCCCCACACCACCCACCCACCCACACACACACATGTGCCCCCCCATAACCCCCCCCCTACACACACACACACCTACATACATACACATATCTCACACACCTGCTCCGCAGCCTCAAAGCCGGATCGCTCCTCCACCAGCTGCAGCCGCGTGAGCGCCACCATCAGCTGGTGCAGCGCAGTGATGTCACCCTGCGCCGCGCTGGGGGGGCGCGTGTGCAGGCACACGATGCGCCGGCCGCGTGCGGATTGAGCAGGCAAAGGGGTTGCACGATGGCTTTTTGGCTGCGGGGGCATGGCGACGTGCGTCAGGGCCAGTGACGCGGCAACCCAGCAGCAGTAGCAGCAGCTACAGACAATTTACAAAACCCCAGTCGCCAGCACGCCGCTGCATCCCTCACCCTCACCCTTCCAAAGCAAGGCCGCCGCCACCGCTGCTGCCATCGCCGCCGCTGCTGCTTGCTCCCGAAACAGGGGGTGGCCAGCCGCAGGCCCCCAGGTGTGCCTCAATCCGACAGCTGAGCGCCCCCCGCAGCTTTCCAAGGCACGCCTGCGTCGGCACGTTAGCCCCGTGGGGGCCGCAGAAACCGCTATTTCAACGGCGGTCGAAGGCGCTGGTGCCAAGCGCCCGGCCGAGGCGGGGCGGCAGGCCGTGGGTTGGTCGCCAGCGAGCGCCGCTGCCAGCCAATGAGCAGGTTCGAAGCGGAAATCGAGCCCAATGCAGGACGACATCTGACGCCCATGTGTGCATGAGGTGGGGGGGAGACGAAGCAACTGAGCCGCATCCGCCCCACCGGCCGCCACCGACGCAGCGATCCCCCAACCCCCGCTTCGCCAGCCGAACGGGCACCCACGCACCTGCAGCCGCCTTCCGAGGTCCCCTTCCCACTCCCGCAGCGCCGCCGGCACCGCCCCAGAGCCCGCGCCGCGCTCGCCAGAACCGCCGCCGCCGCCGCCGTCTGTCTCTGCCGCCACCGCCGCTGAGCCGCGCGCCGCGAGCGCCTCGGACTGCCGCAGGGCGGCGGAGTACATGTCCGCGCCTTGGACTGCGAGGGCCGCCAGTCCGGCGGAGTCCTGTGGAGCGGCGGGCCGTGATAAAGTTGAGTCTAGCGGCGGCGCGCAACCGCATCGAGGGCTTTGTCGAGCTGCCCACGCCGACTGCCGCGGCTGCACGCTGGCGTCGATAAGGCTGGCGTGCCGCCAAGCGCCGCCGCGGTTTGCTGGCCTGCCGCACGCGTGCGTGCGCCGTGGCGGGCGCTTTTCCGTCGATGCCAAGCGTCCGGTCTAGCCACCCTGCGGCGGCGAGTGCGCCGCGGAACGGGCCGCGGACGCGTCGCGGCGCGGCGCGGCGCACCTCCAGATCGATCGCGTCGGCGCCGCGCACGTGCCTCTCCAGCTGCCGCGCGGCCTCGGTGCAGTCCCTCAGGAGTGCCACTGCGTTTCACGGAAGTTGAACGGTTGTTTTGGGTGCCGATGGTGGACATAGGTGCCGAGGGAGAGAGCGCGTGTGCGGGTGCGGCAGGAAGCTGCCCGCGGAATGGGGTGGGAGTGCGGGTTCAAAAAGCTCTCATGCGGCTGGCGTCGTGCACCAAGACAGCGGCGAAACAATCGTGCGGCCGCCGGCGCCGGTGCCAGGCGGTAGAAACCACAATGGCCAAAGGTTCCACGCGCGAGCCGCCGCGCCGCGGGCCGCGGCCCGCGCGCATCGGGGGCCGCACCGTAGCCGTGGGCGGCAGAAAGCAGCGACAGCGCCGCCACCTGCTCCGCGGGCGCCCCCAGCTCGGCGGGCGGCCGCGGCGACGCACTTGACCCCTGTTCACGGAGGCGGGCGGCCGGGCCTGGTTGTTCGCGGCGTGCGTTTTTCGTGTATGCAAAGCGGGCGCCATGGGGGAGTGCGCTGCGAACTCAGGGCGTCGTCGCTTTGGCGTGGTTGCATGGCTGTGCTGGCAGGTGTATCGATAAGCCAAGCGAAAGGAACAGTCATGTCAACCTGATGAATAATTTACTTCGACACCTGACCGCGTCGGCCCTGTACATACCCTGCCCACAAACTCGCAGGCACCTAGCAGTGATGCAAGCACAGCAGGCTCTCACCGCAACCGCCTGCTGAATGAATGCGCCGATGTTGCTGAGCAGGGCTGCTTGCTCTCCTCGACAGCGATCTAGCTCTTGCTGCAGGTGCTGAACCCGCCCTGCCGCCATTGCCACGGATGCGCAACCCAGGTCAGCCCAGCAGTGATCTACAAGTTTTCTGAATCATCTGTTCTGAAGCAATCACAGCATGCTGCAACGAATCTAGCCTCCTTTTAATCATTTTGCGGGCTGGCAGGGAGTCTTGTGCCGTACCTGTTTTGTGCCCCCTAGTGACGAAGCGAACGGTGACAGCTGCTGAAGCGGACGTTGACACCTTGCATGAAGCACTGGCTGTTCCAGGATTGTGATTACCAAGCCCCTCTTACAATAGATTGTATCTATTGAAACAACAGATCATGGCTGTCATTGTTGACCCCGCGTCGTGGCACAGAGTATTTGTCCCTTTATAGCCTGCTTGAGGGATGTCACATTTACTTCTTGTCCGTCTGGCAGAGGCGGAAGGTCAACCTGTGCGCGAAGCAGTGGGCACGCTCCTCCGGTGCGACTCTCTCCAGCGCTGCTGCTCCACTGCGCTGCCACACCGTGCGCCGCCCTTGCCCTCTTGCGCTCCCTGCTGCAGCAGCGCGCATGACGGCCGCTAGCGTCTGCCATGCAAGCAGCTGCCATGGCGCGCCGCGGCCCGCCCAGCTGACGGCGCTCTGCTGCCCGCCCCCTCACTCGCCCTCACCCCCGGTCTGCGCTCCCAGCCTGGATCCCTCAAGCCCCTGCCACGCCGCATACTGCGATACACATGGCGCCCTTCATTACGTCCATTTCGACTCTGAAAGCGGTGCTGTCACCCCCTTAGCGCGCTACCAGCTGCACATTGTTGACGGCGGCACCCCCAGCGGCGAACGCAGGCAGCACACGCAGCAGCGGCGGCGCCCACTGCAGAAGCCATGGGCGGCGTTCGACTTTGTGCCGGGGCGGCCGGGGGAGCTGCTGATCGCTCAGCAGGACAGCCGCCGCGTTCTTTATGCCGCGCTTCCCAGAGCAGAGGGAGCTGCTGGGGAGGTCTTCCTGTTTGGGGGCCACACAGGTGGGTGTCACCAGCTGCCGGTGTCACCCGAACAACCTTCGCATGGGGGCACTGCGAGAGCTGGCAGGCGCAGTGCATAGTGCATGGCTGATTGCATGATCCTCTCACCGGCAGTTGCGCAGGAGCGGGTCGCTGCATGCGCCTCGTTGCGTCCCGCAACATGCATGACGTGCCCGCTCGTCACACCCATGCGCTGAGCTCGCAGCTGCTATAACGTGCATATGCAACAACGGCAGCATCGCGGCGGCGGGCGGTGCAGACGGCGCAGTCAAGCTGTGGCGGCTGTCTGATGGGCAGCTGATAGACAGCAGGTGAGGCGCGCAGGGCGGTGAGCGTTTGACCGCAAGTTGACTGAGGGCAAGGACGCAGCAGATCAAGTAGTGGTGTATGTGTGTGTGGGGGAGGGGGCGTGCGTGCGAATGTGTGTGTAGTAATGCGTGTGCGTGACCATGGTTTTTTTGCGTACATGTCAGTGTGCTGCTCGACGTGTGTGCGTGCGTGTGCAGCCTCAATAAATCATATGCACGGCTGGTGCCATAAGATGGCGTGGCGTGGCCATGCAGCTAGACGAGGGGGTCGTGAGAACGTAGGACAAGCACCCTCGATTGCCCCTGCAACGCCACCCTCCCCCTCATGTGCCCCTGCCCCCTCAGGACGGAGCCGGAAAGCGGCGCTGTCACCGCCCTGACAATCTTTCCAGGGGCCCCCTTGGTGCGCCGCGGCGCAACGCGCCCTGCCGGCACGCTTCTCAAGCGCTGATGCATCTCATGTGTGTTGACCCAGTCAAAGGCGTGCCCGCCATGTACATCGCATCATGCCGACCTCACCACGTCACTGGGCATCATCGCTAGCCGTTCACCTCCCAACAAATCACCAACCCCATGACTCCCGTCTCGCACCTCACGTCCCGTCACGCCGCAGCTCGCGGCCGCCACCGCCGCGGGAGGCGTGACGATCCTAGACGCGTCCTCGTCGCGGCTGCTGCCCCTGCGGCGCATGTCTGCGGGCCCGGGAGCTATCAGCTGCCTCGCAGTGGCGTGCAGCGGGACCGGCGCCGGCGCACGGGCGAGCGCCGGCGGCGCGCTGCCGTGGCGGGACGCGCCGTACGCGGTTGGGGCGGGGGCCGGGGCCGAGGATCAGGAGGGGGTTGGCGGCCGCGATCTCGGGCTGCTGCTGCTGGCGGTCGGCGGGGAGGCTGGGTGGTTACGCATCTTTAGCGGCGGCGGCAGTGCAATCGGCGCGGCTGGCGCCTGGCGAGAGGAGCTCTCGTTGGACGGTCTGGCCGCGCCGCTTGCCAGCGCCTCGTTTGGCCCGCGCAGCGAGACGCTTGCGGTGGCTGGCCCGGCGGCGCCCAAGGGTGCCGTCGCCGCGCTCGGGCGCGACGCGGCGGCCGTTGCGGCGGCCGGCGGCGCGCCCGGGTGTGTGAGCGTGTGGGAGCGGCGCGCGCGGGGCGGGTGGCGGCTGTGCCAGCAGTGGGCGCTCGCGGCGGCGCCCGCGGCGGCGGCGTTCGCCGACGCGGCGTGCACGGTCAGCGTCCTCCCGGCCGGCCGCGGCGCGGCGGCGGTGCAAGCGCTCAGGCTGCTCGCGCTGCCGGCCGCGGGCGGCGGCGGCTTTTCTGAATCCCATTCAGCGGCGCCGGTCGTGCTGCGTGGGCAGCGGCGGCTGGGCCACACTGAGGACGACGAGTTGCAGCAGGAATCAGATGACAGGGGTGGGGCGGTCCCAGGCATGCTGCGCGTTGGCGGCGGCGCTAGCGCTGGCGACGGCGTCGCGGCCCAGGATTCGGGGGTGTGGCCGGACGCGTCCCGAAGGTGCGACGAGACGGCAGCCGGCTGCCTGCCCGCGTGCGCTGCTCGCAACCCCTGTTGTCGGATGCTTTCGCGTTGCGGCCGCTACGCAGCAGCTCGCTCCTAATGCTTGGTTTGGCCCGCATTCTGGTGGTGTGCACTCAAAATCGTGGCGCTTTGCCCCTGATTCACCTGCACAGGGATGCTGAGGCGCTCGCCTCCACCATAAGCGGCCTGGCCCCGCCGCCTGCCAATGCTGCACATGGGCAGCAGCATCAGGCGCAGCAGCAGCAGCAGGGGGGCCAACAGGGGCAGGAGGGGCAGCAGCAGCAGCAGCAGGAGGGGCAGGAGGGGCAGCAGCGGCGGGACTCTCCAGGAGAGGACGGGGATGGCCTAGAGGCCGCCTTGAAAAGGCTGGACGAGCTTTATGAAAAGCAGGCCAGGGACTTGCAGGACCTCGCGGCCATGCGCCTGCAAGCACTCGAAACCGCGGCCAGCGACGCGGACGCCGCAGCAGCCGCGGCAGCGACAGCGGCGCCGCCCTTGGCTGCGCTGTCCCGCGGGTCGCCCGAGCGATCGGCCGCGATTGCTCAGCACGAATATACTAAGGCGGCCGCTGAAGCGGCCGCCTCGGCTGGCGGAGGCGGTGGACGGCGAGAGGGGGGCGGCGGCGGCGAGGAGGCCTGGCGGGCGTTGCTCGGGCGCGGGCCGTCGACGCTGCCTCACCAACGGAGCTGGACAGTACCCGGCGGGCCCGTGCCCATGGCGCCGCGTGAGTGGCCCCCGGTTTGGACGGGGCGACGCGCGCGCACGCGTGTCACCCGATTACGGCGTGTGTGGGGGTCGTCTAGGGGCTGGCTTGTGCAGCCTGCGGCGGCTGGCAGGCTGGTGGGCAGCGGTGCCGTGTTCCCTCATTGCATGTTGCGCCCTTCCAACCCAGACGCCCCGCCATCCCCAACCAGCAACTTGATACGCCTTTGCAATCGAATCCCTTGGTTGCATTGAGACCGGACGGCCGGCACTCCTACTATCTGTACCCTCCACTGCACCTACTTTTTTGCAGCGGTCAAGCTGAGCTGGCACCTGGAGGAGCTGCAGGGACTCGGCGGGGCTGCTGGCACAACCCAGGTGACGGCCGCAGAACAGCAGGAGCAGCAGCAGCAGCAGCAGCGGGAGCCGATTCAGGGGCCAGGGCAGGAGAGGGAGGAACGTCGGCAGCAGCAGCAGCAGCAGCAGCAGCAGCAGCAGCAGCAGGAGGCGGACAGGGAGGTGGTAGTGCCAGGATCCGGGCCAGACGCCGCATCGCCTGTGCATGAGGCAGCAGCGGACGCAGGCACAGCGGGCGCGGCGGGCAGCAGGCCCGTCGGCCCCCACGGGCAGCTGGGGCCGGAGGAATTCGGACAGGCTGAGGAGGTGGTCCGCGCCGAAGGCCCCCGCGGCGTCTGCGCCAAGGAGGGAGAGCTGCCGTCGTCGTCCTCTTTCCAGGTGCTCGCCCCCTCAGGGCGGCTCACCGGCGGCGTCGGCGGCCCGGGGTCTTTTGAGGCTTTGGGGGGCGACGGCCGTGGCGACGGCAGCGCGGAGCAAAACGGGGGCGGCGGGGAGCCTGCGGCAGCGGGCGTGGCGGCGGATGGACGGGATGGAGGGGCAGGGGGCGAGCCTGGGGACGAGCGTCGCGGCAGTGAGGAGGAGGAGGAGGAGGAGGAGGAGGAGGAAGCTGCCCCGGAGCCGCGGCGGCTGCCGCTGCACCTACTGGCGGGTGCCTCGGCGGCTGCCGCGCCCGCACGGCCGCCGCAGCCGTTTGCGGCTCCGGTTGCATACACTGCCGCGGACATCGCCGCAGTGGCGGGCGCGGCGATCGCGAAGCCCGAGCAGCCGCAGCAGCAGCAGCAGCAGCAGCAGCAGCAGCAGCAGCAGCAGCAGCAGCAGGCCCCGCGCACCGTGCTGGCGCCGGAGCAAAAAGGCGCGAGCCGCGAGCAGCTCCGCATGCAGCAGCTCGCGGCCGCGCGCCAGCGACGCCTGCAGCAGCGCCGCGGCGCCGCGGCCGCCCCTGCG